GTATATTGATTAACTACATGCCTGTTATGAGTTTTTAAAAAGTCCATATTTAAACTAGAGCTGAGTGGCTCACGTAGCGCTGAGCTAACCCCACTAACTTGATGCTAACATAGCTAGCTACCATGGTGAAAATATGAGGAGCATTATTGAAGCGCTCGATTAAAAAATCTGATTTCTACATTAGACATTTCTGCATAACGGTTCTCTGCCTGTACTATTACTGAAAGGGGAACTCCACCAATTTTTCAAAAGTTCCATATAATGGTCAAGATATAAACACACACATCCATTCTAGAGAAACTTACTGAGTCAGAATTATTCACCTCTAAAAGCTCCCTCACAGAAAGTTATAACACGAAATGGTTATGAATTCACTGCCTGATGACTGAGAGATTATTTTACGATAGTTTTGTGATAAAGTTTTGCCATAAAACATCTTGTTAATCAATTTATTTTAATCCAATTATAGTAGATGGGTACATGCAGGGCACTGTGAGGCAAAATAGTCCCCAAAGAAAATTTGTTATTATTTCAGATTTTCCACCATTTTCCATCATCAACATTCCATATAAACTCAGAAGACTCGTGTAGGTTCACTGGTGGTTCTGGATAGTAAATAAAATGTCTATATTTGTGTTGTAGTCATGGCGACCCCTGGTTCCTATCACCACCACTGTAAAGACATCCGAACCATTTCACACCAAACCTCTCTGAATCTCTCTGTTTACATCGCAATGACAGAATTATGCAAAATGAGTGGAATTCCCCTTTAAATGAAATTGATTTATTATCAGGCTGTAAATAATGATCCTCTGACTAAAGCAGTTCTTTCACGCAGGTTCAGGATTCTGTTGGAAGATCGACTGAGCTACAAACATCAACACACAAGCATTTGAGCATCCCAACATCAAAGATTCATATTTTTTATTTATACACACATTCATTTATAGAAAAAAAAACCCATTGTGAGCTTTGCATTGATTTATTTATTTCTTTTCAAAACATGTACGGTACAAAATATACTTCCAGATTACAAAATGACCACATTAATCCCACTATTAATAAAGATAAATCAACAGCGATGTTGTGAAAACTAAATCAGCAAGTTTACACTGAGAAAGCCACTCTTAGCATTAGCATCTGAATGTTAGTGAATGACATGCAACTTAAAATAAGTTACAAGTTACACATACGCACATCTGAAAGTACAGGAATCCTTAAAGAACCCTAAATCTAATGTCTAATCAGAAATATATTTACTGGGAATCTACAAAGGAACATTAACTTAAATAAGCATAAACTTAAACGAGCTGAGGAGCTCTAATCATTCTGTAGTGACTCCTGAATGCTACTAAAACAAATTCTACTGTACATAATTCACATTTAATCATCTACAGTGATGTGCAAAAGTCAGAGACCCAAACACCCAAAGACCCAAAGACACCCCTCATTTCCAGTCAAAATTGTCTTTAAGTACAAGTTACTGATTTTTCAGGAGATATTTGTGAGATTAGAGTAAAGATAATCCACTCGCATAAAAAGGAGAAAGTCAAAGTGAAAAAAACAGGGTCATTAAAGAGAAAATGTGGCTCCTAACAACCACCTGAAACACCTGGTAGACACCAAAACAGCCCCATCAGATAAACAGCACTTAAAGCTTTCATCTTTGAGAGATGGATGGACTGACCACCCCAGAGTCCAGAGCTCACTAAACCAGCTTTTTATAATTTAAAAGAAACTCGTTGCTGCGTTTGTTCAGCAGAGTTGATCACTGTAATGATCTTCTTACTGAAGAGAACAGTCCATCCTCTAGAACCCGTACAGAACACAGCAGCATGGATCTTCACAGCACCAACACAGAGAGCTCATATCACCTCGTTACACACTGCACTGACTGCCTGGACCTCTTAGAGAGAGTTTAAAGCTCTGCCGCTGGTTTTTAAAGCTCTAAATGACCTTAAAGCTCCTGACCGTCTGTTTATGATCTCAGATCTGCAGATTCTGACCTTCTGAACTCCTTCAGTATAACAGAAAACGTGGAGAGACTCTTTCAGTTATTCTGCTTCTAAACTGTGGAGCTCAGATCAGCTTTTATTAGCCAGTCGAGCTCAGAGCTCACTTTTAATAAACATCTGAAAACGCAGCTCTTTAACTCAGCGCTTCAGTGAAACTCTACGGCTCTTTGGTCTTCATCTCTTTAATCTGATCTGTTTTATTGTCTTATATGATTTTAAATATTAACACTCATAGCTTCTTCTGTTACTGTTAAGCTTTATCTCTATGAAAAGTGTTCTATACATAAAAACTATTATTATACTAGTACTTAAGTTATAAACTAACTTCTAAACCAACTTCTAAGACTAAACTTTGGAGGTGTGTCTGTAGATTCTTTGAGGAACTGAAAGTGAGTCTCCTGAACAGAATGGAAGCTGGAATAAAGGGAAACACACTGAACACTAATTGCCAATTCAATTGCATTTCCAATGTGAGTCTGCATTATTTAAGAAATGATTCAAATTCAGGTGTAAAATGTGTATTCGTACTCCTGTTTCAACTGCATTTTCACTGCCAACGAGGCTTCCTGTCAATCAAAGGCTGTAGGTGGGAAGTCAGGAGGGACTTTTTGGGGTGTGTTTTAAGAGAAAGTGATGAGTCTGAACTTGCAAAAACACACATTTTGCATTTGAATTTGAATTATGTCTTAAATAATGTACACTCACATTGGAACTGCAACTGAATTAGCATTTTCAAATTTGCAGTTTAATTTTCAAATTTGCATTTCAGTTTAAATAAAGTCCGTGATAGACAGCTATATTTTTCCTGATGCTGAAAAATGAATAGCTTGTACTTAATGTCCGTTTTGAGTGGAAATTAAATAAATGACCTTTTGCACAGTACAGTAGATATGATATCACGGTGCTGACGCTGAATATGGATGTTTGAGAAGCTCGGGGAGCGCAGGCTGAAAGCAGTGCTGCGTTTACTTGATTCAAATGTGCACATCATTTCTACAGGAGCAGACTGAGCTGCATTAGTGTAATCCAGCCTGTTTCGTTCGTGTAGACGTGAGTAAATTCAGCGCAGCACTGTTTTCAGTGTAAATATTCTCCTCAATCTCTAAAATACTGCAAATAAACTGATCCTTCAACTCAAAGTGCAGCTAGTTTCTCATTAGCTTTCCTGACACGGCTGAAAGCAGCTGAAGAGGTTTGTGTTGCTTTAGTCTCTGAATGCTGAAACGCTGTATTGCTTTACTGTAGGAAACTGGATTTGTTGCAGTTTGTCTTATAAAAATTTCATCACCATGCAGGAATAAAGTTCACCCAGAGTGGAATTCACTCTATAAAACCCACCACACTGCAAAAATAACACCTTTGCAAGTGAAAGAATCCTAAATGTATGCAGCATGTTTATATTTCTCGTTATGAAACAGAATGTGAGACAGATTGTTGTTCTGTTAACTTAATATTTAGAGCTTTAAGGAACATTTTCTGTTAGATTATTCACTCTATAGTGAAATTATCGTACTTATCTTACTTCACTGGATGATAATTTAGCTTTTTATGCAAGAAATAAAGCCTAAATAAAGCCTAAACAAAGCTAAATGATCTGCATATGCAGCTTGGCAGATTAACAACAGGATAAAATAAGTTTATATGAGCCACAATTTCCTAATGAGAAATATTAGGTACATTACCTACATTTAAAATGCTTTCACTTGGTAATATATTATTTTGTAGCAGTGCATTCAGCTCTTACTGGAACTGTAGGTTAGCAAATATACTTTTATGTCAAAATATATAAATATCAATATTGTTATAAACAGTCATATTGCATGACAGTCAGTTATCAATAATACGAACAGTAATATTTCACTCGTAGAAGTTTCCAATATATAAAACATTTCAATATATAAAATGCAAAAAGCACAAAACAACAGAGAACAAAGACGTTTTTATAAGTTTGAGTTTTTAGCCACTAAAATGAGCCAAAGGCAGAGAGACGCATCAGATCCCCACACAGGAAGACTGAACTCTATCAGAGCAGAACAGATAGCCACCCGTCGTCGGCTCAATCGCTAACACAGGAGAAACCGTCTAACTGTGAAGATGAAGGAACGTGTACCTCCGTCTGAATCGCGTCTCAGAAACCGTGAACATCTACACTGGAGAACCCTCAACTTTCTACAGTGACCAAACTCAGGTCTGGCTCAGACAACATTACATACAGTTTTGGGCAGAATACTTTGAAAAAGTAGGGATGGCTGAAAACCGAACACTCTGTCCTTAATGTGTTCAGTTTCCATTACAATGTGTTGAAAATGAACATTTTCAGAATATATTTAAAATACATACTGATAAGATTGGAAAACCTCTGCTGTTGTCATTTTTATGTAATTCAAGCTGTTCCTCACTGTTACTGTTCGGCAGTTTTCTTTATGTAATTCTTCTTTTAATCTTAAATGAAGTTACAAAATTCTCAACAAATTATTTTGGCTCCCATAATTCCTTTAGCAGAGCTCAGTAAACGTTGAGATTAATAACCGATCACATTGATTTATCAGTCTACTCAGGCTTTAGCAGAGCTCAGTAACACTGAGATTAATAACCGATCACATTGATTTATCAGTCTACTCAGGCTTTAGCAGAGTTCAGTAACGCTGAGATTAATAATCGATCACATTGATTTATCAGTCTACTCAGGCTTTAGCGGAGCTCAGTAACGCTGAGATTAATAACTGATCACATTGATTTATCAGTCTACTCAGGCTTTAGCAGAGCTCAGTAACGTTGAGATTACTACACTTTTAAAAAAGATGGTTCTGCAAGGGTTCTACACAGAATGATGAACACTCAAAGAACCATATGCATGCTCAAATGTTTCTCTCTTACAAGCTTGACATTGTAACAATAGTGGAACCCTTTTAGGTGCTATATAGAACCATATACAACACATTTTCCATCAATCTGAAGTTTAGATCTGAATCTAAACTATTTCACCATGCAGAGAAACATTTAAGCATGCAAATGGTATAGAACCTTAAATAACCATTGTCTTTACTAAAGAACCCTTGAAGAACCATTTTTTAAGAGTGTACCACACAAAGATTCATATTTTGGCTCCTTAGCGACCTCATTACTGAACAGATCCGGCAACGCTTGGAGGAAAAATGTGCAACAGTAGAACATTCAGCTTTGGAACATTTCTGTTCAGTGATTATTTTTAAAAATGCCATTAGATTTTTTAAATTTACATTCCACACGAATAACAATTAAATTAATCAAATTAATTCATGCAAACATGCAAAATTTCAAAGCTGTGCTTCAAATAGTTTTTTAGCTATTAATTCAATTTTGCTCCATCAGGTTGTAAATTGCATCTTAAATCCTGAGCGTAACTTTACAGAAATGATGAACTGAACTGAAATATTCACTTTCTATTAATATAACTTACAAATAATAATATTTCACGTTAAATAGTTTTTAAAAGTTCTTTTTAAACCTGTGGTGTTTTTTGTTACTGCATGCAGTATTTGAAGCTACACCATGGGCTGAAAATGGCTTTGGGAATAAATATTTGTATAATTTTTAAATATCTAATTAAAATGGCTTCAGTTTTTTCCCAAATAAGAAAAAGACTAACAAGCTCCATATAAAAATAGTAAAAACAATAAATACAAAAACACTGGATTTCCAAATCAACCTTTATAATAATCCATCAAATTAAACTGTTATTTAAATTAAACTGATTTTTTTAATGGAAATCCATGACATGTATTTATATGATTTGTGTAAATACATTTATAAATATATAGATATTTAAAACATAATTTGTTGTCCATTATTATCTATAGTGCACTACAATATGGTTGTTAATTCCACTTATGACAGAAAAAATCATCAATAAATTGATGGTCTACACTGTCAGTGCCTGTATGTGCACCTGTGCAGGTGCGTACCATTATCATAAAGATAAAAGCCTTCATCCACATCCCTTCACCCTTCATCTAACACATGATGGGACAGTAAAGTTATTTTTCTTCACCTGATCTAGAGGTGAAATTCGAGCTGCAGAAGACGCCTTATATTTTTATTGCATTCGATACCTTCCTCACCACTTAGTTCTCCCTCTAAAAATATATTAATTTAAGTTTTTTTACATAACACCACATAAAGGAACAATCTATACACGATATTTATGTTAAATAGGTGAATAAATTAATATATCTTTATAAAACATAGAGTTGATATTAACCTAATAGGAAATCAGATTACAAGCAACGTACTGAAAGGTAAAATAGGTGACTTTTTACAAAAAGAGTAAGAAACTTCCACAGAGTTACAGTTAAATCCTCGTCTCCGCTAAAGCTGCCGCTCCACGTTCTGCTCTGCTGGTCATTTAGGGTCAGGAAAAACTACACGGCCCACTCAGAGATGGCCGAACGCCAAAGAAGTTCCGGGTAGAACCAAAGGCAGGAAGAGAAATGGATCTGACCTTTAAGCTGATCATGGGTCAGTAAATCGGGCGCTCGACTGACCATAGGTCAGCAGGTTCAAAATTAAACAAGCATGAGAGGATGGACAGCTCTGCTGCAGGCGTAATAACAGCCAGAGAAAGACTCTGTTGTCGTCCCTGAAACACACAGACAGCGTTGTTATTGTTGTTGTTGCTGTTGTTGTTATCATCACTGAGGAGGAGGAGTTGGGCTTAATGACAGTGGGATCAGATCCGGACTAAAGAAAACACTCAAACGCGGATTAAATGTTTAATTCATAGCTGCTCAGTGTACAGAGTCTGTCTCACAAAGCAGGGCTTCTTTCTTATCCAGCTTACTTTAAGCCTAGTTCAATCTAACCTGGGATTTGGATCACTTTTTACCCCACTACCTCCATGGCAACCCATACTACACCTAACCCACTCCAGGGCCAGTTAAGCTCAGTATTTTGGAGCATAAACTGTTCTTGAGCATAAACTGTTCTTGATCCAATAAGATACAAGCTTCTACCTAGTCAGGGACAGCCTCTGATCAATCAGGGACAGCCTCTCACCAATCAAAGATGAGCTTCTGACCAATCAGGGACAGAATTCCAACCATTCATGAACAGCTTTCTGACCAGTCAGGTCTGAGCTTATGACCAATCAGGGCTGAGATTCTTACCAATCAGAGACAGCCTTATGATCAGTCAAGGCCAGCTTTCTGACCAATCAGGGCTGGGCTTCTGACCAATCAAGGTCAGCCTTCTGACCAATCAGGGCTGGGCTTCTGACCAATCAGGGACAGCCTTCTGACCAATCAGGGCAGAGCTTCTGACCAATCAGGGACAGCCTTCTGACCAATCAGGGCTGAGCTTCTGAACAATCAGGGACAGCCTTCTGACCAATCAGGGCTGGTCTTCTGACCAATCAGGGCAGAGCTTCTGACCAATCAGGGACAGCCTTCTGACCAATCAGGGCAGATCTTCTGAGCAATCAGAGACGGCCTTCTGATCTAATCAGTTATTACTGTAATGAGCTCTAACACAGTGACAGTGGGGACGGTGCAGCTTTATTCCAGATTAATCACAGCCTGAGTGTCTAAACCTGGACTAACAGAGAAAGTCTTTAATTCAAGTTCATCTCGACTGCGTTTGTTCGGTTTAGTGAAGCTGAAACTCAGGAGCCCAGTTTAAGTTGGAACTGCTTTGTGAGACAGACTCAGCTCTGTAAAGTAAAGCGCTGTGTAAGAGAGGTGAACTGCCATATTCAGACCACAGATGTGTCCTTTCAAAGCTAATATAGTGAGGTTGGACAAGCTTTACAGTACAAATCCAATTCAAACTAATGAGAAACTGCAGCGCTGCACCTTTTCACCATATTCAACAAGCTACGTGTTTGATTACACAACAAACAACTCAGCCTGGTCTGTCCTAACAGTAGCCATGTTTACATGCAGCCTAATAATCCGTTAATTATCCGAATAACACCTCAATCGGAATAGTCTAGTCCGATTGAGGCCATTCAGAATACAGTTCCTATCCGACTGATCGAGGTGGGTAATCCTGTAAATAATCCGTTAATTAGAAGAATAATATCCGTGTAAACGTCTGTATCTGATTACATTCCCTATCAGAAGGTTTAAGTCTGTTCTGATCATGTTCGTCACGTCATAGTGAGAGTTTATACCGTTCAACATGGCAGAGCAGAAACTGGTCTGCAGAGGAGACGAAGTTTATGCTCTGGTCTTTAAAAGACGGCGGTGGGACGGACGTCCAGCTTATGTGTCTCAGAACACGACGTCTTCCTCTCGGCCTTCTTTAATAAGGACATGTGAAGGACGTTTTCCTGAGTCTGACATCATTTTAAAGTGATTAAAAATACAAGTGCTGCTCACTGCTGCTCATCTCACTCTGACTGGACTCACGCGATGCTGGTTGTCATGGTAACGTCTACACTAAGTGGTTCTCTACACATGCGCGTCATTTTGGTTCGGATTACTTGTAGTGAGCATGTAAACTGAGATTTTTCATCAGATTGTTGAGTAGAGTGAGAATAAACACCTCAGTCTGAATCTATAATCAGAATGTAATCAATCAGACTGGCAGAAATCTTTGTAAACACAGCCAATGTAACTTTTCATGCTTATACAAAATAAATATCAATTTAAATGAATAACTGACTCTAAACGTAGTTACTGTGATCTAAACCGATTCTGTTCTACAGTTTCTCATGAGGTTCACTCTTAAATCTTAAAAAGATGGTTCTTCAAGGGTTCTTTACTAAAGACAATGGTTCTATGTAGAACCATGAACACTTAAAGAACCATTTGCATGATTAAATGTTTCTTTGCATGGTGAAATAGTTCTTCAGATTGATGGAAAATGTGCTATAGGTGGTTCTATATAAAGCCATTTCAAAAATGGTTCTATATAACACCAAAAAGGGTTCTGCTATTGTTATGATAACAAGCTTGTAACAATAGAAGAACCCTTTTTGATGCGATTTAGATCCAAATACAATACACTCTTCACCAATCTGAAGAACTATTTCACCATGCAAAGAACCATTTGAACATGGCAATGGTTCTGTGAGTGTGTATGGTTCTATAGAGAAGCATTGTCTTTACTGAAGAACCCTTGAAGAACCATCTTTTTTAAGAGTGTTGAATAGGATTTTTGAAGCTCCACTTCACAGCGGTAGCTACAAAGGAACACATTTGTGGGCGGAGCCTGGAGAGAACGATTAGATCAAAGGGAGTGAACATTATCTGCAGCCTCGCCGTACCTTCACTCTTCAGGAACCCAGCTCAGACCAGCAGCACCACAGCACAGCCACAATCACTATCAGTCCTATGAAAGGCAGTGAGAGAACAGGGGGCTCAGTGGAGAACTGAGGGGGTGGAGAGATGGACAGGTGGGGCGGGGAATGAGAAAAAGATGAAAAACCCAAAATTAAGACACAAATGGAGGGTGAAGCAACAAAAAACACACAAACGTCTCCGTATGGAGTCATTGTGAAGGTGTGGATGAAATATATGAAGTGAATATGGATGTAATACGATAGAGAGAGAGAGAGAGAGAGAGAGAGAGACTGGCAGAGGGTGAGAGAGTATGAAATAGTACACAAACGCATTCAGATTAGATCTATTCATAATTATCATGTTGCATCAAACTCCCAAAGTTGTAACCGTGTCAGTCAGAGTTTGGTGTTGGAGGACCACCGACTGGAGTTTGGAGATGCTGGAGGCTGGGGCTTTGGGGGTTTAGGGGACAGGAGTGGAGATGTGAAAGTTGTTGGGAATGGAATGGTTAGGTTAAATGGTGTTTGGAGTTAGTGTTTAGGGATAGTTGGTGTTTGGAGGTTGGAGTTAGTTGGTGTTTGGAGGTTGGAGTTAGTGTTTGTTGTTAATTGGTTTTCGGAGTTAATGTTTGGAGTTAGTTGGTGTTCGGAGGTAATGTTTGGAGTAAGTTGGTGTTTGGAGGTTGGAGTTAGTTGGTGTTTGGCATCAGTTGGTGTTTGGAGATTAATTATTTAGTGTTTGGAGTTAGTTGGTATTTGGAGGTTGAAGTTAGTTGGTGTTTGAAGTTAGTCTTTGGGAACAGTTGGTGTTTGGAGTTAACTGGTGTTTGGAGGTAGGAGTGAGATAATGTTTGGAGTTAGTTGGTGATTGGAGGTTGGAATTAGTTGGTGTTTGATTTTAGTTGATGTTTGGAGGTTGGAGTTAGTTGATGTTTGGCATCAGTTGGTGTTTGGAAATTAGTTATTTAGTGTTTGGAGTAGGTGGTGTTTGGGGATGGAGTTATATAGTGTTTGGAATTAGTTGGTGTTTGGAGGTTGGGGTCAGTTGGTGTTTGGCATCAGTTGGTGTTTGGAGATTAGAGTTATATAGTTTTTGGAGTAGGTGGTGTTTGGGGATGGAGTTATATAGTGTTTGGAGTAAGTTGGTGTTTGGAGGTTGGAGTTAGTTGGTATTTGGAATTAGTTGGTGTTTGGAGGTTGGAGTTTTTTGGTGCTTAGTGTTAGTAGGTGTTTGGAGTTAGTTGGTGTTTGGAGGGTGGAGTTGGTGTTTAGAGACTGAGGTAAGTTGGTGTTTGGTTTAGTTGATGACACGTTTCCTTGGATCTTTGGGTTAGTTGAGAGTTAGTGTTTGGGGAGAGTTTGTGTTTGGAGTTAGTGTTTGGGGAGAGTTGGTGTTTGGTGTAAGTGTTTGGGGAGAGTTGGTGTTTGGGTTAGTTGGTGTTTGGAGTTAGTGTTTGGGGAGAGTTGGTGTTTGGGTTAGTTGGTGTTTGGAGTTAGTGTTTGGGGAGAGTTGGTGTTTGGGTTAGTTGGTGTTTGGAGTTAGTGTTTGAGGAGAGTTGGTGTTTGGTGTAAGTGTTTGGAGATAGTTTGTGTTTGGGTTAGTTGGTGTTTGGAGTTAGTGTTTGGGGAGAGTTTGTGTTTGGAGTTAGTGTTTGGGGAGAGTTTGTGTTTGGGTTAGTTGGTGTTTGGGTTAGTTGGTGTTTGGAGTTAGTGTTTGAGGAGAGTTGGTGTTTGGTGTAAGTGTTTGGAGATAGTTTGTGTTTGGGTTAGTTGGTGTTTGGCGTTAGTGTTTGGGGAGAGTTGGTGTTTGGGTTAGTTGGTGTTTGGAGTTAGTGTTTGAGGAGAGTTGGTGTTTGGGTTAGTTGGTGTTTGGAGTTAGTGTTTGAGGAGAGTTGGTGTTTGGTGTAAGTGTTTGGAGATAGTTTGTGTTTGGGTTAGTTGGTGAAAGATTTAGTTGTGTTTGCAGATGCGGCTTCACCTGTGTCCCATTCCCCTCTGTGAGCTTGTCCAGCTCCTCCCTACAGCGCAGCAGCTCCAGCTCCAGCTCTGCACGTTCCTTCTGACTGGTCTCAAACAGGTCCTGTAGCTCCCTCATCTCAATCCGCACCCCGTCACACTGACACATCAAAAAGCTCATTATTGAAAGGTACATATGACAACAAACACTCTAATCACACTCTAAAAGGAGCTTATTTGCCCTGACCTACCTGCCCCAGCGTATCTGCCCCAGCTTCCCCCCCCCAGCCTACCTGCCCCAACTTAACTGTTCCATCTTACCTGTCCCAGTGTCCTTGACCCAGCTCACCTGTCCCAGTCTACCTGACCTGCTGTATCTGCCCCATCCTACCTGCCCCAGTTTACCTACACCATCCAGTCCCAAATCTGCCCCAATCTTTCTTCCTTCCCAGCTCACCTGTCTCTGCACCTGTTCCGCTCTCTCCTCTGCCTGCTTCAGCTGCTCTCTCAGGGAGAGGATTTCGGAGAATCCTGCGCTCCAGCTGGTGGGCGTGAGCGGCTTTCCCTCAAAGGAAATGTTCTTCTGGATGCTGGCGTCCACCAGCCTGCAGTTTGAGTTTGAAGACTCCACCGTGTTCACGCTGCTCCCTTCAGCTTCTTTCTCACCCTCCTCCTGCTCCTCCTTCAGCGGGGGACACACACTGGCGTTTCTGCTCAGAGGGTGAGACGGACCTCAACGTCAGCAACGATTACATTATAGCGAAACATCCACAAATGAAGCCTGTTACCGTTACAATGATCCAGTGAACATTTAGCAGGTAAGAGAAGCTGCTGTGTGTATGTAGTTTATCATATGTAATATTCCGCACCACAGTGTTGTGTCTCTTAGTCTCAGGTATGCTCATTATGCAAATCTGTCATTTTGAAAATTTGAAAATGGTTCTATATAGAACCATATACAACACATTCTCCATCAGTCCATTTCAACATGCAAAGAACCATGTAAGCATTAAATGCTTCTATTTGGCTTCCTAGAAGTAAGAATATTTCACAGATGTTGATAGATAATAGTCACTGGTTTTCTTTGGTTAATCTAAATACATCTGTCCAATCACAGGCAGGTTTCCTTTTTTTTCTATAGGCCTTTTCACACTCCAAGGCCGTTAAGAGGAAATAGCGACAAAGCAGGTAACAACACAGCCAGTTAGCCTGCTCTATTCACCTGAGGAGGCAAAACACCCAAATGCAATACTGGAAAACTATACAGCACTTGGTGCTTTAACACACCATCTGTGCTATTCTGTGTATTTCTTGCCAGAACAGACAAATAACTGTACAGCTCCAAAAAAAAACATCCTCACATCTCAGGCAGTGATGTGGACCGATTTATAAAAGAATACACAGCACAGTAAGAAGAATAAAGGCTGCAAACATTTTTGACTTTCAAGTTACATTAACGTAATAAGCCATCCTACCTAACCTGGCCGGGAACTGTAGGCTTGTTTTAATATTTATAGGTATTTTATATATTAATGTTTTTATATGTACACGTAGTTTGGAGTGTCGGGAATGAGGAGGTGATATTGAGGGCCAGATCGTACAGATCAACGAGGAAGAACCAAGAACCTCACAGAGTGCAGGTTTGACACGGTTACGCTATGAACACAGAGAGAGCTGAGGCTGCAGTGTTACTGTACTGAGTTGGCTAATCAAAGAGCTACCAGCACTGACCACCAAACAGGTTTAGATCTTCACGCTCTGTTTGGTCAGGCTGCTTCTGCAAGAGCAATAAACCGATAAACTCTGAACCTCTGATGTGTCTTATTCAAATATTCCGCTGCACCTTAAATGGTGCTGCAGTTCATTCTGGCACCTGCACGGCATTTAAGGGGACTGCTGCATTCATTTAAGGTGGAAAGGAAGTTTAAATGAGAAGCTGGCTTCAGCCTTGTGAACGTTCACGTTTTGTTGAATGACACTTAATGTTTTTTTGATAGCACCACGTCTGAGCCTGACTCGCCCCGAGTCTTATAAACACCGCTCTGACATAATGACACCATTTACTCTAAAATTAGGACCCTCTACCTTCGGATGGACTGGACCCATTTTGACATGTGCTTGGTTGGTTTTTGCTTGGACTTGTGGCTCTGAGGAACACAGCAAGACGCCTTAAAGCTGGACTGCACCATTAGTTTGGGTTGGACCAGAAATGAAACTACCTGCTAACAGAAACTGACGGAAGTGAGAATGCGGAAGTGTGAAAAGGGCCGATTCATATTGCTCTTGTTAGGTTCATTCCAGTCCCGTAGGGAAAAAATCTTTCTTAAGATCGTCTCAGAGAAATAAAGCAGATCTCAGTATTATATTAATGAAGGATCTCTGATTTCTGAGCTGTTCCTCCTGAACCTCCTCAGGAGAAAAGAGGAGATTAACATCAGAGTCTCACTGTGAGACGTTCTGGTGATGAAGGAGAAAAGCGTGAGTTCTCCTTCTGCACTGACAGACTGCTGAGAGGGTTCTGTGATCTAGAACAGAGCTGTATAAGAGAACGATGAGATCTCACACTGTTCTTATGGAGATATTACTCAGCTGAGAGTATTTCTGTCCTCTGGGGTCGCTCTTATAGTTCCCTGCAAAGTGTACTGCACCGGGTATTCAGACATTTTTAGGGTGATTCCAAACCACAGGGAGTGACAGAGTTCCAATGGAACTTCTAACTGCACAGAGAATAAACATCAGTTTATCACCTCACAGGAAGCAGCAGGAAAGTTTACCCGTCAGTCACTGCTGGTCTAATTAAGATGCGTGTTTGATTATGATGCTGTAGAACGTTCAGAATGAAGGTTTTTATCAACTGTGGTATCTTTAACCGACATCCAGAGCTCAGGTGTGTAGGGAATATAACAGTAGTGCTTAGGGACCCTGTGGAGTGGGACGCAGCTTTAGGGACCCTGTGGAGTGGGACGCAGCTGTAGGGACACTGTGGAGTGGGACGCAGCTTTAGGGACCCTGTGGAGTGGAACGCAGCTGTTGTGTTAATGTTTTGCTGTCCGGTTTGGACCAGAGGAGGCTGGGTTCCCCTTTCGAATCTTGAGCCCTGTTTCAGTTCTATTTTAAATGAACCCTCACAGACATCAACCTCAGCACTCAGATATGTGTCACACCTGTGTTACACAAGTGGCCACTCGGTGCAGAAGGGGAGGAGGGACAGTGAAGAGAGGATTATTCAAATGCAGCACGCTATAACGTCACGTAACGTGTGAGAACTGCTTTGTCTGGCTATAAACTTGCAGTAAAGCTGTTCTGCACTGCCTTTCTTTCTGTTCTTGTTAGCCGTGTAGTCTAGCATGCTAATGAGCCAGCTAGCAGTGTACAGTGATGAAGCTGTATTATGTTATATTATGTATTATATATTATAGGTATTATTATGTCGTGTGCAGCACATCATGTAGTCTGTAACTTAAAGCCCAGCAAATCGAATGTTAAGGTTTTGAAGTACTTAAAGTACTTTACTGCTGTAGCTTATAAACAGCTTGAAAGGGTTTAAAAAGGGAAATGCGTCAGGTTGCAATGATTTCTGGGTAAGTCAACACTGGTGTTCTCTCGATCCCTCGCCCCTCCGAGGGCTCATCTAACACCCTTCACTTCAGCTAATACAGTAATGGAACAGCCCTTTAAGGTGGCGCTGTGGATTCCCCCGAGGGGATGTGGCGAGGCCAAGTGGACGAGGGCTTGTTGTTGTTGGTTGGTTCCTCTCAAGGTTTCTTTTTCTTGCCCTTGGGGACTTTTTCTTGCCACTCTCACCCTTACAGAGGCTCATGGGGGCTCAGACCTAGATCACATTTGACCGACAGCCGATTTGGTCAGACTCTGAAGATGAGACGACACTAAATTCCCAAACTGTCATCACCACTGAGCATTTTAGTCGGCAGCTGAGACAGAAGAACAGCTGAACAACCTGGAATCAGCCAGAAATGAACCCAACACCAAAATGGGCTGTAAGATGCTTTACAGACTGGCTGGAACAAAACAACATTAATACTGATCTGGCAAAAACTGACAAAACTGAGTGTGAAACGAGTTTAATGTGTCGGTCTGTGTGGAGCTGGAGAACGAACTGCCGGCTGTGCAGCGAGTGGGCGGAGCTCGTTACTCTGACGTAGCAACAAGCTGCTCGTTAAGGAACTATAATTTGGTGAAGGAACTGCGAACATTAAAACATATTAAACGCCGCGTTCACGGCCCAGTTTATTAATTTATTACTGTATTTATTTAACTGTTGTATTAAAGCAACAGAACACTCGAGGAGTGTGTTATCACCAATAACATCACGGCTGTGATGATCTACGGCGACCAAATCACAGCCGTGATGTTATTCTGTGAAAACACCCTCCCTCTCGTCTTCAACTGCTTGAATAGCAGCCATAGGCTTTGACCATTTACACTCACCTTCAAGATACGTCATCAGATGAGAGTTTTTCTAGAATTGAAATCTGGAAATCTGGCACTAAAGGCTACTTGTAGTGTTTACAGGTGATATAATGATGATTTTGATTTTGACCAGTGTCCAGTGAACACATCGACACGCTAGGGTGTCCTGGTGAAGACACAGTGTGTTTATACCGTGTGTCCTGCAGCAGCTGCAGTTTCTCAGTCAGTCTGCTGTTGGCCTCCTTCAGCGTCTCACACTCCGCTTTCAAACTGGAACATTCCTCCCTCAGCAGGACGACGTCACCTGGACAAACAATCACTCCGTCATTCACTGATCCAGTTACTCAGCTGTTCAGTCACTCAGGGGGTCAGTCATTCAGTCACTCTACAAAACGAATGGCCGTGTGTTGTGTAAAGTGTTAGGGTTAGTATATGACATAAAGGTGTCCATCAGCAGTTCTATACATTACCCATTAGGTCATATACTATCCCTAACACTTTACACCGCACACAGCCATTAGTTTTGTTATATTTGTATATTAGAACTACATTAAAACCTGATGGTTTTGCTTTCTAATAGGAATTGGCTTAATGCAGGTGTGTCAAACTACAAGGGCCATATTAAAAAATCTCAACAAATCTGTGGAACAGCTGTTTTTTTTATTTTATTTTCACTAAATATTTTGCCACGTTTGTCCAAAATATGCCAAAACTACAACAGCAAAAATAGGCACTGGCACTAAATACTCAAACAGTTCAACAATACTTTTATTTTAAAACCATTTGCTTGACTTACTGGACACCTGCCATCTTTTCTTGTCTGTTTTTGTGGTGCTGTCCTATAGATCGTTGTTGGGGAGGGGGTGGGAGCACACATTACATTGCAGTGCATGCTGGGAACTGCAGTGCAGCTCATGGTGAAACAGGCAAATATTAATAGAAAATTAAAATAATTTTGTGGGCTGAACTGGATTGTGCCATGGGCATGACTTGGCCTGTGGGCCTTGTGTTTGACACATAAGGCTTCATGGTTACCATTAGAGACCACTAGTTTCCTGTGGGACACCTTTAGATCCCATTAGGGAACCATCCCTGCTGAAAAAACCCATAGAAACCATTAAGTGTTTCTGTTGGTTCCTGATGGTTTTGTAATATGTTTAGGCTCTTTGATGGGTTGATATCACAGTGTAAATTATATTAAATAACAGGAAGCTTATATGAGTAATATATGCCATCCAGATGTGTCTATCGTATATTGTTTAATGTTTGTGTTACACATGTATGTTTATATATGTTGATTTTTGGCTGAAATATAAAATGGTTGCCATATATATCAAATTTGTCCATATGTGATGACATATTAGTTGGATATAAGAGAAATCTCTATATGCTAATATATGTCATTTATCACACTATATATATATATTACATCCCACACACTGAATTATGGGGGAATTGGGATTGAGATGTCCAGTTGTTGTCACAGAAGTTTTGACTATGAACTGATTCAGAAGCAGTTTCTGTTAGCATTCCTGCTGCTTCTCCAGGTGCTTCAAAGTGTGACGTAATTCTCTAACTAACGCAGAAGATGACATCACGCTCTCTGTATTCAGTGCTGACCCCCCCACCCCCCACCCTCAGGACAAACATGTCTGCGATGCTGACTCTCATTAAACGAGCCCTGATTTATGCCTATGCCTGCAGGATGCTAACGGTGCGGCGGCTCTGGAGATGAACTTGATGGATCATGTGCTGGTTTCACACTGATATCAGAGCAGCGTCAGTGTGTGAGGGCAGCCTGCAGCTCCGCAGACAAAATAAACAGCTGGCAGACAGAATGATGCTCTGGGTCAGGGTTTATCTCAGCTCAGCCTCCCTGACCTCCCTAAAGCCCCATTTACAGAGCCTCATTTACAACTCGGCTCTGGATACGGTGGTGTTTCCTGCTCATACCACTCCTGATCCACCTGATCAGATCATTAACAAACGCTCCCTGAGGTGGATCCTAAGGTGGGTCAGGCGCAGGTGTGGATCATCACAGGGGTTTTATGGGGGCATAAAAGGGACCCCCAGCCACTAGGGGGCGCCCATGAGTAATTATGCCAAAATCCAAGCAGCTGCCTTGTGTCTTGTGTTTTGTTTCTCTCTCCTCTCTTTGTTTATCAGTCTCTCTGTTCTCTCTCTCTCTCTCTCTTTTCTCTGTCTTCTGTCTCTCGTCCTTCTCTCTGTCTCCCTCTCTCTTTCCCCCTCTGTCTTTTTTCTCTCTCTGTATATCCATCTCTCTGTCCACCTCTCCCTCTCTCTCTCTCTCTCTCTCTATATATATATATATATATATATATATATGTCTCTCTGTCTCTCGCTCCCCTCTCCCTCCTATGCTCTCTCTGTATCTCTTGTCTTTTACACTCCAGACTTTTATCCTTGGTTTTAAGTACGTCAAGAGAGAGACGTCCAAATGCCAACTGATCAACTTCATCCTTGGGCAGGCGAAAATGGCCATATATATCAGTCGTAAGAACAAGATGGCGCATGGTACTGACCGCGAGGCCACAAGGATTTTCTCTAGGCTGGTCAGATCAAGGATTTTAATTGATTTTGATTATTATAAGACCATGTGTGATGTGGAGGCCTTTGAAGAGATGTGGTGCTGTGGTGGGGCCGTGTGCTCGGTGTGCGAGGGTGAGCTCTGCGTCGCTCCTGAGCTCAGTTGAGCCGGACTGTTTTATTTGTGTCTTTTTGTTTTTACCTATTTATAAAGTGTTTGTCTTATTTTATTTAATGATTTCATTTATTTCAGTATAACTTAAGATGACACAGTGTGACGGATGACTGTTTTAAAGAAAGAGCTGGTTCAATAAAGGACCGTCAAAAGTAAAAAAAAGTCTCCCTCTGTCTTCTCTCTCTCTCTCTCTCTCTCTCTCTCTCACCCTCTCTCCTCTCCTGCTCCCTCCTTTGGCTCTTCATGGCGATTTCGGCTCTCAGAGTGACCGCCTCCAGCTCGTACTCCTGTGCGGTGGCCTCCACTCGGCTCATTTCAGCTCGGACCCTGCACAGCTCCTCCTGCAGGCTGGCGATGTCGTTCTCTCGCTCGGCCGCGCACTCCTCCGCCGCCTCCCTCAGCGCCTGCACCTCCTCCCTCACAAGACTCAGCTCGGCCTGAGCCTCGGCCAGTTCACTGTCCTTCAGCTCCTGAACACGGTCCAGCTCGTCCTGAACACCGCGCAGCTGAGCTATGGAGAGAGAGAGAGAGAGAGAGAGAGAGAGAGAAAAGAAAGAAAAACAGAAAGAGAGAGAGTGAGAGACAACAAACAGACAGAGAGAGAAGAGAAAAAGAAAGAAGAAAAAGACAGAGTGGAGAGAGAGAGTGAAGAGAGAGAGAGGGGGCAGAGAAAGCGAGAGACAAAGAGAGAGAGAAAGAGAGAGAGGAGACACAGAGAGAGAGGGAGAGAGAAGAAAGAGAGAGTGAGAAAAAAGAAAAAGAGAGAAGGAGAAAGGAAAAACAGAAAAAGAGAGTTAGAGACGAGAAAGAGAAAGAGAGAGAAAGAGAAAACCGAGAGAAACAGAGAAAGGAAAAACAGTAAGAGATGAGAAAGAGAAAGAGAGAGAGAGAAGAGAAAAAGAGAAAACAAAAAGAGAGAAGAGAGAGAGAGAGAGAGAGAAAGGAAAACAGAGAGAGAGAGATAGAAGAGAAACAATGAGAGAGAAAGAAGAAAAAAAGAGAGAGAGAGAGATTTTGGACAGGACAGCAGTGACGCAGAGGACGACGATGCTCAAACTGCACCAGGTGTGTCCAGTTAAAGGGCCGGTGTGGCTGCAGGTGTCCATTCCAGACAGAAGCTCACCTGACTGCACTGTTCACTCAGCTGATCTCGCTCCTCTACAGCTGATCAGGAGCTCCTTTGGTTTAGAATGAAAACCTGCAGCCACGGCGGCCGACAACACAACACAGCTGGACTGAACAGTCTGGGAAGTAATGATAGCAGATTCCAGGAAAAGCAGCATTTAGGGTTTAAAATGACCAGAAACATGAACTAACGGGATTAAAAGGTCAGTTTAGATTTCAGGTTGACTTTAAGAAACGTTTTATTTTTTGTGTTTTCAGTTTTTAATGCTACCTTGCAGGTGCTGGATCTGGTGGGTGAACGCCTCGGCCTGGTGGGCACTGGCCAAACGCTCGTCCTCCAAAAGACCTGCAGATCAGCAGGGAGCAGGAGACAGGATTAGACATGATGATGTCAGAGGAGACACAGCAGGTTAGACGGAAATATACAAGAAGATTAAAGTGAAAGTTGGATTTACACAGTTCCTCCCAAATATGGTCAATAAGCCGAGACGTGTTTGTTGTTGGACGTTTGCCTCTTTACTTTAGTCCATGTTTATAGATCACAGTGAGTCATACAGTGTCAGAAACCACAGAATCAAGACTGTTAGTGACACTGAACTCCACACAGTCTGAGCTGAGCGTGTCATTGTTTAGGCAGGGTGCTGATTAGTGAGGTGGAGCTGCTGGCAGAAACAATCAATCTGTTAAAGCTCATAAGACCAAAGAGATGATAGTTACTTCAGAATGTCTTGGGGTGACCACTCTCCACTGCACACCAACGGGTCAACTGTGGAGAGTCAAAAGCTCAAAGTCCCTTGGTGTGAAGACCTCAACTGGACCCTCAACACCACCTGCCTAGTCAAGAAAGCCCAGCAGCAACTTCACTTACTGCGGAGGAAACCCTCACTACATTCTACAGGGGGCAGTAGAGAGCGACCTGACCAGCTGTCTCACTGTCTGTAATAGGAACTGCACTGTCTCAGACCGCAGGACCCCACGGCGGATTGTGAGGATAACTGAGAAGATCATCGGGGTATCTTTACCCACCGTCCACACCTCCTACCACAACTGCTGCATCCTCAACACCACCAGCACTGGACTAATCTAGATCCTTTCTAACATCCACCTGGACTAATCTAGACCCTCTACAACATCCACCTGGACTAATCTAGACCCTCTACAACATCCACCTGGGCTGATCTAGACCTTCTCCAACATCCACCTTGACCCTCTCCAACGTCCACCTGGACTAATCTAGACCCTTTCTAACATCCACCTGGACTAATCTAGACCCTCTCCAACATCCACCTGGACTAATCTAGACCCTCTCCAACATCCACCTGGGCTGATCTAGACTCTCTCCAACATCCACCTGGACTAATCTAGACTCTCACCAACATCCACCTGGACTAATCTAGACCCTCTCCAACATCCACCTGGACTAATCTAGACCCTCTCCAACATCCACCTGGGCTGATCTAGACCTTCTTCAACGTCCACCTGGACTGATCTAGACACTCTCCAACATCCACCTGGACTGATCTAGACCCTCTCTAACATCCACCTGGACTAATCTAGACCCTTTCCAACATCCACCTGGACTAATCTAGACCCTTTAAAACATCCACCTGGACTAATCTAGACCCTCTCCAACATTTACTTGGGCTGATCTAGACCTTCTCCAACATCCACCTGGGCTGATCTAGACCTTCTTCAACGTCCACCTGGACTGATCTAGACCCTCTTCAACGTCCACCTGGACTGATCTAGACCCTCTCCAACATCCACCTGGGCTGATCTAGACCCTCTCTAACATCCACCTGGACTAATCTAGACCCTCTCCAACATCCACCTGGGCTGATCTAGACCTTCTCCAACATCCACCTGGGCTGATCTAGACCCTCTCCAACGTCCACCTGGACAAATCTAGACCCTTAGCGACATTAGCCTCGTAGCTCCAGTGCTAAGCCAAAGAAGCGGAGCTCAGGCACTGAGTGGGTCCTGTCTGTGGAAAGTTCAGGAAAGCTGGAGGAGTTTATGTCTGGCTGAACTATGGCTTTAACAGACATGCTGGACAGAAACCTGTTATTTCTGTTATGAAGCTGTTCTTCTCTGGTCACTGAGGAAGCAGTAACAGACCTCAGTGCAGCCGTACTGAGCATGCTCAGTGAGAATGGCCCGAAGGTGATGTCATCAGCCAAGTGGGTGTCAGGACAGTCTGTCTGGAAGCTTCTGTGAGCCGCAGCTGTTAGAAATGACTGTCCCGTTCCACCCACACTGAGAGTCCGATACGGCTGTAGACCACTCTGAGACCCCACCACGCTCACCGCCTCACTGATTCAGTGCCTCACTCACTCAGTGCCTCACTGACTCACCAACCCACTGACTTACTGACTTACAGCCTCACTGACTCACAACTCACCAAATCACTGACTCACAGCCTCACTGACTCACAACTCACCAAATCACTGACTCACTGCCTCACAGCCTCATCGACTCACCAACTCACAACTCACTGACCCACCACCTCACTGCCTCAAAGACTCACTGACTCGCACCCTCATCGACTCACTGCCTCACAGCCTCATCGACCCACAACTCACTGACCTACCACCTCGCCGCCTCAAAGATTCACCACCTCACTACCTCACTGACTCACCCACAAAACAGAGACAGGCTCTTATAGATTACTGAAAAACATGAATGATTTTCACAATATTAATATATGAGATTTAGTAATCTGTTATTTTACATCTATCATTAGAGATTAAAGGGGAATTCGACTGATTTATCATTTCTGCATGATTCAGTGGTTTAGATGTAAACAAAGTCATTTTATTTACTCTCCAAAACCACCAGTGAATCTTCACGTCTGCCAAGTAGTCATAATATTAGTACTATAAACGGTGCTACTACTAGCACCAAAAAGGGTTCTACCATTGTAACAATGTCAAGCTTGTAATGATAGACAAACACTTTTTGGTACTATATAGAACCCTTTTCAAAAAAGCTCTGTATAGAACCATGTATAGATGGACACATTCTCCATCAGTCTGAAGAACCATTTCACCATGCAGAGAACCATTTAATCATGCAAATGGTTCTTTGAGTGTTCATGGTTATATATAGAACCATGTTCTTCACTAAGGAACCCTTGAAGAACCATTTAAGCATACACATGGTTCAATATAGAACCCATGGTTCTAAACAGAACCATTGCCTTTACTAAAGAACCCATGAAGAGATATCTTTTTAAGTGTGTGCTCAGTACTTCAGGTTCTTGAGCTTCTACTTTTGTTCCCAAGCTGTAGTTCTAAAGGTGCTTGTGTGTAAAGTTCTCATATCAGAAGGCTTTGTTCTGGAGGATGAGTTTAGGGCTCTCCACTCATCTCTGCTCAGATCATTTCTTGTTCTAAATGTTCTCTGTGAGAGCCACGTGTGGGCGAAGTCACAGAACTGCAACTGGAGGAGCTCCTGAGAGGCTCCAACCTTCCATGTGGGAATTCTGAGGGAGGGAACGAGGAAAGCTCGGATGATGGAAGCTTCCCGGCTCCAGCTCACAGCCTCACCCTGCAGCTCGAGGAAGTTCTCCTGGTGTTTCTGCGAAGCGTCTCGCGCCTCCTCCAGCTCCAGCAGCAGCTGCAGAACCTGAGCCCTGAGCTCCTCCAGCTCCTGCTCCTCGCTCAGCACCTCGTCTCCAGCCTTCTCCTCCTTCACCTCCTTCTCCTCTCCCTCCAGCTCCGCGTTCTCTCGCTCCTTCTCCGTCAGATCGCTGCTCATGATGGGCTCCTCTGCTTTCAGATCAGTGCTCTCATCTGCACAGGAGAAACACTCTCAGTTCACCGAGACATTCAGTGACATTAAAGTGACAGTTTGGCCAAATCACTTCCCAGACAACATCAATCAACTATTTAAATTATTATTATTATTATTATTATTTAAATTTAACTATTCAAATTAAACTATTTGACAAAGGACTGTTATATTGCCAGTTCAGAACTTCTGCATCTCACTCCCACCTTCAAACCCAGCAGTCAGAACTCTGCTTGTGGAGGGAAATTATGGTTATTGAGCAACAGCGACATCTTGTGGTGACAAGCAAATTAACATGTCTGCCCCTACAAGAAAAACCAGCACAGACCAGCATGTCGCTGCTGTTGGAACAAAACATTGTATCTCCATTTTTGTTTAGTTTTTGGCATAATTTGAAAATACCTGTGCTCCTTTACATTGTATGTCAATTTTATGAAGCATGGTCCAAACGAAACGGCACATGATTACTTGGAAAAAAGTCTGGTTCCACTGACTTCCATTAAAAGTAAAATAGTTTTTCTTTCTCCTGTAAAGTTCCTGTTTTGGAGGTTTTGTTCTGACAGCAGTGAATGTTCTGGATGCTGGTGTTCTGGTCAACCAGCATGACCATGCTGGCTAACCAGCTAAACCAGCACCAGACCAGCACTAAACCAGCAAAAATCAGCACAGATGAGCCAAATTGAACAGTCAGGTTCAGTTTGGGTTTTTGTTTGGATTTAAGTCACAGCTGAGATCAGTGATCTCTATCTAAATGAGCTTGAACTGTAACCCTTTTTGGTGCTATATAGAACCCTTTTTCAAAACCACACACGACACATTCTCCAACAGTCTGAAGAACCATTTCACCATTTAAGAACCATTTAAGTATGAGGTGGTTCTTTGTGTGTTCCAGTGTCTTTACTAAGATCCTAAGATTTATCTTTTTTTAAGAGTGTAGAAGGAGCGTTTCACACCAAACCACTCTGAATGACTACGTTCACATCTTAACCGTTTAATTATGCAGGAATTTTGATAAACCAGTGGAGTTCCCCTTTAGTGAGGGTGATCAAATGTACTGAAAGCGTTTAAAGTTGTTTTTTAAAAAGAGCAGAAAATCTGAGCTCCTAATTCAGCCTTAAAATAAGGAGCTAAAAGACACATTAGCATTCAGAGAGCTGTTCTGCAGGAGAACACGCTGAGCAAATTACACAGCACACAGGAAGTGTGAGTGTGTGAGTGTGTGTCGGGGGGGGTTAACACTCTCTCTGTTCCAGTACAACACACACACACACACACTCACACACACACACACACACACCACACACACACACACACACACACACACACTCACTCACACACACACTCACACACACACACACACAGCTCACAGTGTGCGACACTCAGCTGAGCTGAGCCTTTAGCTGATTTAGACTGAAGTGAAACACATTCCTATATACACACTTTAAAAGATGGTTCTTTAGCAAAGACAGTGGTTCTATTTAGAGCCATGCGTTCTGCATAGAGCTGCTTCATGCTTAAAGGTTCTTTGCATGGTGAAATGGTTCTTTAGATTGATGGAGAATGTGTTGTAACCTTTTTGAAAATGGTTCTAAAAAGCACCAAAAATGGTTCTTCTATTGTTACAAGATTGACATCATAACAATAGCAGAACCTTTTTTTTGTGCTACAAAGAACCATATACCACACATTCTCCATCATTCTGAAGAACCATTTCACCATGCAAAGAACCTTTAAGCATGAAGCAGCTCTATGCAGAACGCATGGCTCTAAATAGAACCACTGTCTTTGCTAAAGAACCATCCTTCTAAGCATGTAGTGTCACTCTGAGTGTGAGCTGCAGCAGCTCCGTGACCTTCAACCCGTACGTGCAGCCGCAGTGCGTGTTTGTGTGCTGGTGAGTTTGAGGTTCTCGCTGCTCTAGGGTGAGAAAGTGGAACGCTGGTCAGACTAAATGCTGCTGTTGATTCTTTAAGTTACTCGTCGTCTACAGAGACACACTCCTGCACATTTTAATACACACTTACTGTTTATTTACTGAATTTATTATATTTCGGGAAACAAATAAAACATAAAATGTATCCTGTGCAAAAGTCAAGGCACATTTTATATTTAATATAAATTCTTTTATCTAATATGTTTAGATAAACAGAAATTGTGCACTAATATGCCAAAAAAATCAACAAAAATGTAATATTTACCTGCAGTGCCCAAAACCTTCACGTACGACTGTGTAGCTGATTATACCTGATTATAATAATACTCAATTAAGTATTCAATAAAGTGTTTTATCCCACAGTAAAAGTCCTGGCTATTTAAAGTCAAGCTTAATTGGTCACACGCAGCCATACACAGGATAACGTGCAGTGAAATGCTTATACGACTGTCCGTTTCCATAAATAAACAGAACATACATTAAAAAATATGAGATAGAGAAGAGAATGTGGAATGTAAAAATATAGGGATGTAATAAAATACAGTGGTATATGTGTGTAAATGCAGATGTGTTCAAATGAGGACGTACACTCAAAAATGATGGTTCTTCAAGGGTTCTTTAGCAAAGACAGTGGTTCTATATGGAACTATGAACACTCAAAGAACCATTTGCATGCTTACGTGGTTCTTTGCATGGTAAAATGGCTCTTCAGACTGATGGATAATGTGCTGTATATGGTTTTATACAGAACCTTTTTAAAATGGTCCTATATGACACGAAAAAGGGGTTTTCTATTGAACTATTTGACAGACTGAGCTCAAAGCAGGTTTCGGAGAACCTCACATTACATGTTTGTAATGTTTATGATGACCTGTGCTGGATCCAGGGGTTCTGATGCTAGTTTAGTTGGGTTTGGTTCTAGAGTTTTGGCGCTGTTTGTTTCGGGTTCAGTCTGAGTTTTTGTTTGGATTTGAGCGACCAATTACACGAGTTAGATGTGGTGAACTAGTTGTGAGCGGTCAGTGATCTGAACGAGCTCGGGCGAGAGCTGGTTTGAATTATGGTTAGCTAGCCTTAGCATTAGCTGGAATTAGGGCTAGGGTTAATTAGCGGTAGTGCTAACACTAACATTAACCTGGCCAATATGGGTTCCATATGCAACCTTTTTAAAAAGGGTTCTATACAGCATCAAAAAGTGTTCTTCTATTGTGTATAAGCTTGATATTGTAATAATAGAACCTTTTTGGTGCTTATAGAACCATATACAGCACATTCTCCATCAACCTGAACAGCAATTTCACCCTGCAAAGATAATATAGTAAAATTATTATTATTATTATTATTATTACCAGTGTACACAGAGAGTGCACAGCTGAATATGTCCTGGCCTTCCACCATGAGAGGGAGAGTGACCACACACACACACACACACACACACACAGACACGATTTGGTTTAGTTTAAACTGTCTATTAAACTGTTTATATATGTGTGTGTATATGTATGTTAATATATACATATAAAGTTTTTTTCTTCTTCTTTTTTATTTGTTTTATAATTAATTGTATTTTTATTTAATTCTTTCTCTCAAAAATTACAATTATGCAAATTGCAATTATCCAATTCTGCAGTTTCTTGTTTTTGTGAAGTTTTTCATGAACTCTAATATGTTCAGCTGTATCATTAAATTAAATTAAATTCAATGCAATTCAGTTCAATTCAATGTATCTATGTAATTATTATTATTATTATTATTCTAAACATTTACACAGGTTAAAGTGGACTAAATCCACACATTAGATGAGATATTGTCACTGGTGTAGACGTCACACTAGCCTGACTGTGAGTGTGTGCTGGGATTGTGTTACAGTGTGGGAGTTCATGAATAATGCATGACTCTGATCACACACTCACACTCCCACACTCCCACTCACACTCCCACTCACACTCACACTCACACTCACACACACACTCACACTCACACTCACACTCACACTCCTACTGCAGAGGAGGAGATATTTTATTATCATTTAAATTAGAGGTGAAGTTATTGTCGTTCGGCTCGTTTTCAGAAAACGTCATTTACATTGTGTGTTTGTAGAGCTGGGCGATATGGTAAAAATAAAATACTGTGATACTTCAAGACATTTTCATGATACACCGTATGTCAAGATATTGATTTTTTCAGACATCTGATCAGCTGGAGCAGAGAATAAAGATCCAGCAGAGCTATATTTAAAACATACTATCAAAACTGTGAACAGTTTAATTCAGTATTTGTCACTAAATGATAATCATCATATGATCAGAAAAGAATACTGTAGTGTATTATAACATAATTTATCATGATAATGATATATTGTCATATTGCCCAGCCCTAGATGTTTGTTGATTTTTTTAATAAACGAAAAAATTACTTATTACTACAGAATATGCACTAACCAAGCACTTTATTACTTGTATCCAAAATCACATTCTCAGTACTGACGTGGTGGTGGTGTGTTAGTGTGTGTTGTGCTGGTGCGAGTGGATCAGACACAGCAGTGCTGCTGGAGTTTTTAAACACTGTGTCCACTCACTGTCCACTCTATTAGACACTCCTACCTTGTCGGTCCACCTTGTAGATGTAAAGTCAGAGACGATAGCTCATCTGCTGCTGCACAGTTTGTGTTGGTCATCCTCTAGCCCTTCATCAGTGGCCACAGGACGCTGCCCACAGGACGCTGTTGGCTGGATAGTTTTGGTTGGTGGACGATTCTCAGTCCAGCAGCAACACTGAGGTGTTTAAAACTCCAGCAGCACTGCTGTGTCTGATCCACTCAGACCAGCACAACACACACTAACACACCACCACCACGTCAGTGTTACTGCAGTGCTGAGAATGATCCACCACCCAAATAGTACCTGCTCTGTGAGGGTCCATGGGGGTCCTGACCACTGAAGAACAGGGTAAAAGGGGGCTAACAAAATATCAGAGAAACAGACGGACTACAGTCTGTAACTGTAGAACTACAGAGTGAAACTATACGGTCAGTGGAGCTGATACAGTGGACAGTGAGTGTAGAAACAA